GCAAGGGCCAAACCCCCAGGGCCTTACAGGTCAGGCTTAAAAGTCTGGATTTGTTGAGAAGGCAGATACGACCCACAACAAGGATTTCAGGCACTGGGAAAGGTAAGGGGAGAACTAGTACAAGTGTAGTGTCAGGTTTACAACTTGGGGAGGTCAGTCAGGAAGCAGGCAGAGAATGGGCCGCAGAGGTGCGGATGAATCAGCAAAACGGGTCTGTGGCTCTAACAATAATCTACGAACAGTAGCGCCTCCACTTATGACTGGGCTCCACACAGTCAACCCATCTTACTTGAAAATACCCTCGGTCAAAAATGCCTTTAGTGAACCTAATCTACCAAACAGCAGAGCCTAGCCCAGCCTTCCTTAAATGTGCACACACTAGCCTACAGCTGGGCAATGATCCTGAGATTTATCTCAAGAGTAAATTGTCTTTTTCTTCTTACCACAAGCAGGAGACACAGAGAGGCCTTTTGCAGGCACCATGGAGTGTGAAATTGTACAGGGCAGGGAGAGGGGCAGCCCAGAGCCCCCAAACCTGCCTGCTCTAAATAGGTTCTACCATCCGCCACATCAACACAAAACATGAGACTTTAATGGGAAGGAACTTTAATACAACTAGGAAACAATACAGGAAAGGCAAAGAATTTAGTTTCTAAATCAAGCACCCAAAGTTACCCGTCCCCTCGGGGGTAAAAGTCCAAATGGGATTGGCCCAGAGCAAGGCCCCAAAGCCTGCCACAAGTCTAAAGCATCTTCCCATGGGGAACCATAGAAAAGGATCAGAAACAACCAGAGAAGTCTGGAGGGAAAAGAACAAAATCAAAAGCAAGACAAAAACCACCATTGTCACCTCCCCACAGGTCTCTCACCCACATCTGTGTCACCCAGTCCACGACCAAAAGGCAAGTGCAGTTTCTTCATGTGTCTCTCAGCTCCATGTGCCTCCTCCAGGTCTCCTTCTGGCTCTCCATCCAGCTTCCTTCCTTCTTTAGTCTCCTCTGCAGCTTCTTCAATTCCCACTCAGCTCCACCCTCCTTTGGGTGGGCAGGAAAACTGGAACCTCCCCCTTTTCTGGGGACCACCCTGTTATAAAATCACAAAACACATTATCCAAAACCTGCTGGCACCACAGTATTCGTAGAGTATCCTTGGTGATCACGTGATTGACCCAGGGCTGCACTGCCCAGCATCATAAGAGTTGTACCACATGTCACTATTTTGAAAAAATCAAAATTCAAAATTGATAGGATCATTTCTATTGGATGTACATTGCTTTAATACCATCATAAAGTTGAAAAATAGTAAGATGAACCATCATAAATTGGGAACTGTCTGTAGTGATCATGAAAGAAACAGTAACACAGATCTTGATGAGGGCCTGAGTTCAGACAGGTAGGGGGAAGAGGGGTTGGAGGTGGCAGGAAGTAGAGATATTTAGAAGACAGAAGACTTGGCAACCTATAGAAATGAATCAGAGTCCAGGATGCTCCCAGGTGCCCAGTTAGCATTGCCAATAGACAATGGAGCTAGAATAGTTCCTTATGACCTTATATGAGACTTTTTAATTGTTGTAATTACAGTACTTGATGGTTTAAATCTCAGAAATAAAAATAATCACTGTGACTATCAAGAGAGCCACAAATGGTAGATTCTACTCTGTGATCTTAACAAATAAGCATTTAGCCCTCATTGAGCAGCAGGGAAACACTCCTGGCAACTTGTGACAACTCAGGAGGTCTGGGATTCTCTGCGGAGCCACATGAACAATCCTTCTAGACAGAGCCTTCCCCTGCATTCAGTACTCAAGAAGAGATCTAACCCGATTGGATATCGCCTTCCAAAACCCTCATGAGCACCAAGGGAACCTGATTATACAACATAGTGGAGATTAGGTGAGATGTTGACTGGTTTCCTGGCTCTCCCTCTTATCTAGAAGCCTCACACTCTGAGGCTCCAGCGGGAGTACAGGACTGCACAGAGAACTGGAGAAGCAGACACAGGAGTTCTATCTTTGGTGGCTCTCCCACACCCCACACAGAACGCAGACCCCTTTGTGGGCCCAGTGCTCTCACATGCAGGCAGGGCATCTCACCGCTCACATCATTCCTGAGAACTAGTGTCCTCACCCACAAGGCCATGCCAGCCATGATTAAATGGGGTGGCCTGGACTCCTGCCAACGCTTTAGTAGGCCAAAGGTGGAGCCAGGAAGAACTGTTTTCTCAAGGACCTCCCCTCTCTCCAATGTGAGTTTACAATGGGCCCTGGGAAAATGACAGCTGGTGGAAATACAAGTGATTTATCCAGCAGTAAAAACTGTCCCCCAGAGGCACAGGCTATTGCTTTGTAGGACATCAGCCAGTTTTATATCTAAACTTGCACTCTACCCCAGCACTGTTTTTCTATGACTACATAAACCAGTCGTGCAAATTCGTTTTTACCAGAGATTCTGCTAGTTCCCTAGTTAATGGCTGATGTAAATCCTTGACACATGCTCCTTTTTTATTTCTCAAGGTAGACTGATAGCTAATGTCCCACACCCCCAGTTTTCACTTGTGTTATAGTTCACTTGCATTTCTGTGATATATTGTCTCACAATCCACATTGCTGTCCAGCAGGGGACTTTTAAAAAACATTGATATTTCTGGGATATTTCCTGGCTCTGCATTTTCTGACAAGCACATTTCATGGCCTCCTGGGTCCTCCTCTGAGCTTGATAGAGGGTCAGGTTCTTGACTCAGGTCAGCTTACCCACCACCCCGGGGTAATATGTGAGGAAGGTTTTACAATACCCACTGCCTGTCCTCTCTGGCCTTCAGTCTTGCCCCCACCCACAGTATGACCCAGACTGACTGACCCAGCACCAGCAGCAATGGGCGACCAGGACGAAGACTCAGTCAATGGGACTGAGACGCTGGGCGCTGAGTTGAACCAAGACTGACCACTTGCCCATCTGTGGTCTTTGCACAAGTCACCTCACGAGTCTTTCTGGACCTCAGTTTCCGCATTAACAAAATGGGGCTGACCGTCTTCCCTACAGGGTTGCTCAAAGAACCACAGCCGGGTACCTCACAGGGAGCCCCAAGTGTCCACCTCAGTAAACACCCCACGGTCCCAGGCTTCTTGGACACGGCGCCTTGACACCGGTTTAGTGATAGTTTCGGTTCTGGTTCTCCTGGAACGGGCGAGGGGAGAGCCCAAAGGCTCCACCAAGACGTAAGAATTCAAAAATATCCACAGATGGGCCTCCCTGATGGCACAAGGGGTTAAGTACCGCACTATGGGGCAATCTACGACCTCTGCAGCATGAGTTCCATCCCCGGCAGGCCAGGGAACTACCCACATGGCACAGCAGACCTCTCCTGTCTTACCTGCTGCTCCCCTCAGCAGTGTATTTCAGTCTGTGTGCCTGTTCCACTCCCCACTCTGTCTCTGGTGAATCCTCTCACCCACCACATCTCTGGCCTGTATCCCAGCTCTTGTATGCATAATAAATAAATCTTAAAAAAAAAAAACTTAAAAAAAAAGAATTTATACTTTGTTAATGGTGAATGCTAAGGCTGTTCTGGACCTTGAGGCACAATTGACTTAAATTCTTTCTGTGCATTTCACTCCCTTAGTCTCTATCTCATGCATATTTCTAACTGTGCTTTTCAAGCAGATAGAAGAATTTTGCTTCTGGCAAAATTTGCACCTGCTTTTATCTGTATTAGAGTTGCTCCAAATACCATGTTGGATTGTCATTGGAAAATTGCTCCAGTTGTCCTCTGCTGTTTTCTGGGAGTCATCTTGGCAACCTCAAACCATTTGCAGCCAGCTTGGGGGGAGCAGCAGGGCAAGTTTAGAGAAGATATTTAGAGAGGAACACAGCATTTGGTTGTGCAAGGACGGAACAGTGACAAACCAGTCTGCCTGTTTGCAGTCCTGTGCAGGTCACCTGTTCCCAGGCATTCCCGCTGCACATGAGTGGAACAGCAATGAGAGCCAGTCAGGTGAACTTTGAAAATGCAATGAATCAGGTGAAGCTTTTAAAGAAAGATCCAGGAAATGAAGTGAAGCTAAAACTCTATGCACTCTATAAGCAGGTAAGTGTCTGAGGCCTAATAGAATTTAAAGACCTTTTGAGCAGATGGCTTCTCTGGGTGCTATGCTGGGCGCTTGAAATCCGGCTTGTTGCTGCAGGTCCTCTGCTGCCCAGGAGTCCAAGTGTCTCCAGGAGCTCCCCGTTCATAGCGCCTTCTTCCACGTCCAGGTCTGTCCCCAGCTGTGTATTTATCCTTCAGCCACGTCTTCAGGAGCTGGGTTTTGTGTGTTACTTGGTATGAGGGCTACTGTTCATGCCCAGAAATTGTGGGTATAAAGGAAAGGTATGACTTTAGGAATACCATGCCCAGAAATGTTTCTGTATTTGGGAAAGGTAATTATCTGTGCTGCTAAGACAAAAAAGTAATCAGAGGAGGATTTTAGATAAAAGGGGAAAGATGTACCCCAAATACAAGAACTTGTGAGCTGGGAATAACAGACCAGAGTAAAAGGATTTCCGGGTATTGTGTGTCTAGCGGAGTGCTGATGTCATATAAAAAATGGAGACTTTTTAGCATGTTGGACAGGAATATGGGATCCCAAGGAGGAGTTAGTGGCATGTAATGTTTTCATAAGAAAATGTTGATTTTTCTTGGCAACAAGGCGAAATTACGTAAAGGCAGATTTTCACTGGAAATTTAATCAAAAAATTTTGAAAGACTGAAAATTGTGAACAAAACAATGGTCATTTAAATTTGCTGTAGTTCATCATGCTCTGAAATTTGCCTGAGTGCAGTAGCGGTGATATATTTATTAGATTTAGGCTTTTTTTTTTTTTTTTTTTTTTTTTTTTTTAGATTTAGGCTTTATTTCTAACTATTTCAATCTCGATGCCTTTAAACGTTATGATTCAGGGTCGTCGTCGTGAACACTCATTTTTTCTTTGTGGCTTCAGTTGAACTTTCCCTGCCCCTCTGCTTACTGTGTGTGCTTAAAAACTTAGCTGGACCTTGTTTCTGCTCTGTTGCTGCCTGGCTGGTTTAACATCCTGTGGGAGCAGGGGCTATTCTGCTCAGCCCAACTTCACGGCGTCCACAGCAGGTACATTTCCCGGTCCTGCCCTCACCCCCCAGCACCCCCACTCCCGCCCCCATTGGTCCAATCCCAAAAAGAAGGGGTTCTCTGTCTGTAAGCCCTGCAACTGCTCACCTGTCCTTTTGAGCACTTCCTGTAGTCTTCACCCCTTCTCCTGCACCTGGGAATGTTGGGCACACGTTTGCTGAGTAGAGAGCATAGAATTGACTGTTAAGAATTGATGGCACAAGGGGTTAAGTACCGCACTAAGGGGCAATCTACGACCTCTGCAGCATGAGTTCCATCCCCGGCAGGCCAGGGAACTACCCACATGGCACAGCAGACCTCTCCTGTCTTACCTGCTGCTCCCTCAGCAGTGTATTTCAGTCTGTGTGCCTGTTCCACTCCCCACTCTGTCTCTGGTGAATCCTCTCACCCACCACATCTCTGGCCTGTATCCCAGCTCTTGTATGCATAATAAATAAATCTTAAAAAAAAAAAAACTTAAAAAAAAAGAATTTATACTTTGTTAATAGGTGAATGCTAAGGCTGTTCTGGACCTTGAGGCACAATTGACTTAAATTCTTTCTGTGCATTTCACTCCCTTAGTCTCTATCTCATGCATATTTCTAACTGTGCTTTTCAAGCAGATAGAAGAATTTTGCTTCTGGCAAAATTTGCACCTGCTTTTATCTGTATTAGAGTTGCTCCAAATACCATGTTGGATTGTCATTGGAAAATTGCTCCAGTTGTCCTCTGCTGTTTTCTGGGAGTCATCTTGGCAACCTCAAACCATTTGCAGCCAGCTTGGGGGGAGCAGCAGGGCAAGTTTAGAGAAGATATTTAGAGAGGAACACAGCATTTGGTTGTGCAAGGACGGAACAGTGACAAACCAGTCTGCCTGTTTGCAGTCCTGTGCAGGTCACCTGTTCCCAGGCATTCCCGCTGCACATGAGTGGAACAGCAATGAGAGCCAGTCAGGTGAACTTTGAAAATGCAATGAATCAGGTGAAGCTTTTAAAGAAAGATCCAGGAAATGAAGTGAAGCTAAAACTCTATGCACTCTATAAGCAGGTAAGTGTCTGAGGCCTAATAGAATTTAAAGACCTTTTGAGCAGATGGCTTCTCAAATAGTTATGCTGGGTGCTTAAAATCCGACTTGAATATTTTTAGGTTTGTGTTGCTGCCTTTCCTCTGAAGTGTCTCCAGGAGCATTTCGGTACATTAGACTTTGAAATACACTTGTCTCCCCTTTCTCAAAAGCGCCTTCTGCCACTTCTTCAGGAGCTGTGTGACACAGCTGTGTATTTATCATGTCAGTGCTACTTCACTATGTGTGTTATTGTGGGTTTTGTGTGTTACTTGGTATGACAGGTAGGAATAGTCTGTTCATGCCCAGAAATGTTTCTGTATAAATGAAAGGTAATTATCTTTTTGCTTTATACCATTTTGGCTTATGAAAGTTTTCAGAGGAACACCACTTTTGGATAAAAGGGGAAACCTGTACTGCTAAGACAAAAAAGTAATCCCCCAGGATCACTCCAGAGTAAAAGATTTAAAAGATATCCCAACCAAATATGTAGAACTTGCTGAGTGCTGATTAGAATAAATGGAGACTTTTTCAGACAATTGGGGAAATTTGGACATGGAATATTGGATGATCCCAAGGAGGAGTTAGTGCTGACAGTGTCATGTTTTCATAAGAAAATGTTGATTTTTCTTAGCAACAATGCGTACTAAATATGCTGAGGCAAACTAGAATGGTGTTTGGGAATCACTAAGATAATTGAACAAAAAAAGAAGAGGATGGGTGAAGCAACAATGGCCAAAAAAAAAAAGTTGTTAATCATGGCTGATGAGTACGGAAAATCCTTTATATTAGTCTGCTTTTGCTATGTCTGAAAATTTTTGTAACAAAAATTTAAAACTTAAATTTTAAACTTCCAACGTCCATAAATTTCCCTTGTGAGGTCAGTTCTTCTGGGCTCCTGTGTGCTTTCTCTCTATTCCTGTGATTGGTATGAGTCTCTTACTTTCGTGTGGGTGTGGAGAGAGTTAAGAATTTAACTTTGCCCATAAAAAAGGCCTGACCTTTGCTCTGATCTCTAGGCCTGTGAACTACCAAGTGCCATAGAATTGTTATTGTTTACCCAAGTAGTCTGGTGGTGTGATTTAGAGTGGGACTGGCCCTGCAGAGTCACAGGGTGACCTGGGGTGGGGCCTCTCGCTTCCACAATCAGTCATACCTGCAGGATGGAGCCCCTGATGAACACCGCGGCTTGAGTGAGCTCCCCTGGTGGACCCATCCTGTGTGTGTGTTCAGTCAGTTCTGAGGATATGGGTTGTCCTGACTGATGGAGGGGATAGTAGGGGGTACTTCCCCAGACTCCCCAGCATGTGTCTCCTCCTCACTGATGTTAAGTTGTATCCTTTTCCCAATAAACCTTAACTACTATGAGTGTAATAGTGCCCAGGGTGCCCTGCAAGTCATTCTAGCAGATTATTGAACCTGAGGATGGGCTCAGGAGTCCCTACCTTTGCACCTGGCATCAGAAGTAGGGGAAATCTTGGGCCTCCCCTGATGGCGCAAGCAGTTAAGCACCGCACTGTGAAGCTGTCCGCAGCCTCTGCAGCGCAGGTTCAATCCCCGGCCGCCAGGGAGAAACCCACATGGTGCAGCAGACCTTTCCTGCCTCGCCCACTGATCCCCTCAGCAGTGTGTTTCATCATTCTGCCTGTTCTGTTCCCTGCTCTGTCTCTGGTGAATCCTCTCACCCTCCCGCATATCTGGCCTGTACCCTGGTACTTGTATAAAAAAAAAATCTTAAAAAAATTTTTTTTGAATAGGGTTATTAAAAGTGGAGGGGTTTTTTTTATTTTTTTTAATTTTTTTTTTTTAAGATTTATTTATCTATGCATACAAGAGCTAGGGCACAGGTCAAAGGTGTGTGGGGGAGGTGAGAGGATTCACCAGAGACAGAGTGGGAAACAGAACAGGCAGATTGACCAAAATACACCGCTGAGGGGAGGAGGGGTGAGTCAGGAGAGGTCTGCTGTGCCATGTGGGTTGCTCCCCGGCTGGCCAGTAATCGAACTCATGCTGCAGTGACTGCGGATTGCTTCATAGATTGCATCTTAACCCTTGCGCCACCAGGGAGGCTCTAAGTGGAGTTTTAAATTGCCATTTCTGAAAAGCAGCCGAGTAGGATATTTTATTCATCTCAAAACACTCAGTCTACCCGAAACAAACAAAATTTAGGTGCTTTTTGCTTTCTGCTTGCATGTTCTTCAGTTATATTTTTGAAGGGCCAGTGGCTCTGACCCTCCCTACGACTGCTTCCCAGCAACAGTTTTGTTACTCCATTACTGAAAATTCCCCACTGAATGAGTGGGGCTGTTTTAAACCTTTGACTGGGCTTTCAGCATTTATTGTGAGTTTCCAAATGTTTCTTGAATATTTCAATTGTGTATTAAATATGTGATCACCCATAGAAAACTTCTGAACTAAGTACTTCTGAAAGTACTTGTTACCTTGCTCCTATTTGACTTGCTGTTCTCCTAAAATGAGTCAGGTGCTTCTCCTTGTCAAGCCATATAAATGGAGAGCTCGGGATTTTGACTTTCCCCAAAACACTTCTCTTGCTTCATTTTCACATTCAGGCAGTGAAAAATATAGGGACTGATAGCCAATAGCACATTTTGTCTCCAGGCTTTTTTCCAGTTGTTTGTGCATGTTTTGGCAGTAACCTCAGAGAGGAAAGTTCACATCAATTTTTGTACCTTGTCCAAGTATTTGGTGAAGGGCAGACATGGTCATCTAGTTGTGCATTTATTTATGGTTCCTTTTTGCATGAGTATCTGACCACAGCCGCCCCTCTCCTTTCCACAGGCCACGGAAGGCCCTTGTAATGCGCCCAAGCCTGGTGTGTTCGACTTTGTCAATAAGGCCAAATGGGATGCATGGAATGGCCTTGGCAGCCTGCCCAAGGTAAGTCTACTTGTTACCTTGCTCCTATTTGACTTGCTGTTCTCCTAAAATGAGTTAGGTGCTTCTCCTTGTCAAGCCATTATAGACAGAGAGGTCCGGGATCTTGACATACCTCTATTGAACCAGAACGGCCATTCTTTCTTCATTGCAAGATGCTATGTATCAGCCTCGTAAGTTTCTCAAGTACCTATTTGCTGACCATGGGCTGAAACTAGTTGTCATCTTCTCTTTAGGAAACTGCCAGGCAGAACTATGTGGATTTGGTGTCCAATTTGAGCTCATCTGAGTCCTCTAGCCAGGTAAAACCTGGCGCGGAGAGTAAGCAAGGGGCATATGAATTCCTGGTGGTAACCTCTGAGGACGGCATCACGAAGATAATGTTGAACCGGCCGGCCAAGAAGAACGCTATCAGCACCAAGGTGACTCTTCTTGTACGGGGAGTTTGTCTTCTTTCCTTGTCCTCCTCTGTCCCTCTCAAAAACTGGCGTTTTAGCATTATTCCTGTTTTTGTGCCATCTCTGATTTGATCTGTGACAGAAGATAAGTAATTGCAGCTCCTTCTTACAACAGATTTGGGCTTTCATTGTTTAGAAGATGTGAGCCAGAGGGGCTGTGGCTTTCCTGATGAGGGAAGCACAAATAAATGAATGTAAATGAGGCATACATAAGAACACATTTAGATAGAGGTGCATTCCCAGCCTCCCACCTCCGAGCATGCCTGGGCCCTGGTCCCCAAAGTATCTTCACATGGTTTATACTTGAGAATGACTCTGTTCTCCTTGCATGGAGCTTTATTTTGTATAAGTAGAAGTAGAAAGAAGTGCATCTTAAAGAGATCAGAGATTAAACAGAGCAGAGCTGTTTCACAAGGACAACTGTAGACTTTGGCTCTGTCATTGAACGAGAACAATAAAAAATAACCACTTCAGCTCTTACCCCTGCAAAAAAATTATAGGGAATTAAGTGGATGCTTGGTGCTGAACTGGGAGCAAAATTTGAGAGAAACCCGCTTCCATTGGATCTGTTATCTACATTACAGCAGAAAGTGCATCTAACTTACAATAGCCTTAAGGCAGTTGGACACGTGCCACTTAATAAATAAAGCAGTTGATACTCAAAATTTTATTTTCATTTTCCCACACTGAAATCTCAGTAAGGTAGACATCGCACCAGTTTTACATGCACCAGGAGTTATAGTGGCCACACAACCAAGATTTTCAGAGATGTTGCTGATTTAAAATACTGCCCTTGGATACCATCACCGTGTCCTGGAAATTCCCGCCTTTTAGCTCAGGTCATGAATACCTCCCAGCCTGCCTGGGCACCTAGGCTCTCTCTTAAGGTCCCAACTGAACCATTGTTTCATGGGACACTGTCACTGATCACCTCTCATTCACTTTCCTTGGATAAGTCTCAGCGCCTCCTCTGAGCTTCCTGCTACTTTGTACTTGCCACTTATTTTAGAGCTTCCCCTCTATGAATGCCAAGAGCTCAGTGCCTCTTTGGTTTACTCTTGGGTAAAAGTGGGTATGTTCCCCCATCAGAACACGTAGTAGGGACACAGCACACTCCAACTAATTGAAAAAGAGTGAAAATCTGCTCGGGTGGCATAGCAACCCTTCTGGTGGTGTCAACACAAACAGCCCAGATGTTTGGCACTTAGCAGAGAATGGCCTCCCAGGCTGTCACGCAGTGGGTCTGCCAGGTGGTGGTGGCCACATTCAGAGCCTGTCCTGTTCCTCTCTTCCTCCCCGCAGATGTATCAGGAAATTATGCTTGCACTTCAGGCCGCTGGCAAGGATGACTCAGCCTTAACTGTGTTAACAGGTAAGACATTTTCTTGGACCATTTAATGAAATATCTGTCTTGGGGGGCTCCCTGCTTGATAGGAAGTTGAGTAAAAAGCTCTAAATCTTTGCCAGGACTGAAGTACTCTTTATTCTTAAATATGTAGCAAATATGATAGACACAGGATTGACACCTTTATCATGTAAAAAGCAGATACAAATTGGTGAGAAAAGTACTAAATCAATGGTACATATCTGAAAGGTATTTAATATTATATGATGTTGCTTAAAAAAACAAGTATAGGACTTCCCTTGTGGTGCAAGGGGTTAAGACACAGCACTACGAAGCTATCCACAGCCACTTCAGCACTGAGTTGGATTCCCAGCAGGGAGCTACCCACATGGTGCAGCAGACCTCTCCTGTTTCCCCCGCTGCTCCCCTCAGCAGTGTATTTCAGTAGATCTGCCTGTTCTACTCCCTACTCTTGTCTTGGTGAATCCTTTCACCCCGACACCTCTGGCCTGTACCCCAGTTCTTGTATGCATAAATAAATAAATCTTTTTTAAAAAATGGAGAACTAGGTGCCTAGGTGCAGAGGGTGATGTGATCACGCAGATCTGAAGAGCAGTCAAGCTGTCCCCCTAAATAAAATACAGTACTGTAAACCCAAAAAAAGTTTCTAAGATCTGTTAGATACAGTGGTGAATAAAAATGAATTGACAATTTACATGAGAAAGTCCAGGTAGAAGACAATTTAAAAAAAATGCATTTCATTAATAATCACAGATACATTGATGAGATTCTATTAGAATGATGAGATTCTATTTTGTCCTCTAAACTTGCAAAGTTTTAATTATAACCAATTTTGACAAGGTTAACGTAGAAGTGTCTCGTATCTTGCTGATAGCAGTATAAACAGCTATAAGAAGTGTAACTAGGGCCTCCCTGGTGGCACAAGAGGTTAAGCACAGCACTATGAAGTTATCTGGAAGCCTCTGCAGCACGAGTTCGATCCCCAGCCAGCCAGGGAGCAAGCCATATCGCACAGAAGACACTTCTGACTTGCCCACTGCTCTCCTCAGCAGTGATTTTCAGCCAGTCTGCCTATTCTGCTCTCCACTTTATCTCTGGTGAATCCTCTCACCTCCCCGCACCTATGGCCTGTACCCCAGTTCTTGTATGCATAAATAAATAAATCTTTAAAAATAAAGAAGTGTAACTAGGTAAGGAATAGGGCATTTTGCAGTATATAAAATGTTCATATCTTTTGGTACAGGAATCCTACTTCTGGGAATTTTTTTAGGAAGATTATCTAAGAAAAGGGGAGTTGTTAGGCAGGTTTTTGCAGCATTACATATAGTTGTGAAGACATTCTAACATTGCCATGATAGAATAATAAAACAAATCATAGACTATCCACTTTATTATATAGTGCACAAGTATTAAAATTGTAATTGTAAAAACCAACAATATTGAAAATGTTTAATATATATTTTTTAACTCTAAAAATTTTATTAGTATTATGGTTATAACTGGAAAATATTGTGGATAGCTATGGACCTAGGTTGATGAGAACATGAAAAATGAAAGTCATTGGATTTGGAAGGGATGCCGTGTGTGGTGGTTAAGGCTAAGGCTTAGGACTCAGATCAACTTGAGTTAAAATCCTGACTTCATTTCTTATTAACCGTGAGCAACCTCTGCTTCCCATATGGACAAGACAGTGCTTACTAATCCCATTGAATGGTTGGGAGGACGACATGATGTAGTGCAGGTGAGAGGCAAGGCGGGTACTTGATGATGTCAGCTTTTACTCTTGGCATTTCCCAATTTTCTCCTTGTAATCAGTTTCTAGTTTCATACCATCGTGGTCAAAAAAGATACTTGCTATGACTTCAGTCTTCTTTAATTTATTAAGACTTGTTTTGTGACCTAAGGTATGACCCATCCTGGAGAATGTGCTATGCATACTTGAGAAGATTGTATATTCTATTGCTTTCAGATGGAATGTTCTGGATATAGAACATTAAGTCTACCTGGTCTAATGTATTGCTTAAGGCCAATGTTTTCGTATTGATTTGCTGTCTAGATGTTCTACCCATTGACCACGACGGTATATTCAAGTCCCTCACTGTTATTTTTCCTTTTAGGTCTATTAATGCATACTTTATATACTTAGACGCTCCTATGTTGAATGAATATTTACAAATGTTTGTCTCTTGTGGATTGACCCCTTTACCATCCAGTACCCTACTTTGTCTCTTATTACAGACTTTGTTTTAAAGTCTATTTTTTCTGAAATAACTAGAGCTATCCCAGTTTGGGTTTTTGGTTTTTTTTTTTTGGGGGGGGCGGGGGGCTTTCATTTACATGGAATATCTTTTTTCAATCCTTCACTTTCACTCTTTACATCTGAAGCAAATATGTTATAGGCAGCATAAAGGAGGATCTTGGTTTTTATCCACTGAGTCTCTCTCTCTGTCTTTTGATTGGATAATTTAGTCCATTCACATTCAGAGTAATTATCTATAGTGTGTACTTACGGCCATTTTATTACTTGTTTTCTGGCTGTTTTTTAAACTCCATACTAACTTTATAAATGATTAATCCACTTTACTGTATTTTTACAGTGAGATTTATTCTTTCTTGTTGCTAATTAGCACCTTTTCTATTCAGTTTAAAGAAGTCCCTTTATCATTTCTTCCTAGGCTGGTTTAGCGATGATGAACTTCTTTAACTTTTGCTTCTCTGGAAAAGTCTATCCTTCAATTCCAAAGCTTACTTTCTCACAACAACCCTTTGAGGTATTTACAATGATCAAAACCCACTAAACTAAGTTTAAAAACTGGCCAGCTTATTGTATGTAAATAAATACTTTAAAGCAACACAACTTTGGTGGCTCTTACAATGAAACTAACAGCTCAACAAAATCCCACCATCTGTCCTGCCCGTGCTCAGTCTACAGCTTGTCCCCCTGACTTTTTCTGCTTGGATGCAGTGACACTTCTTTCAGCCCATCACAGACACCAGCACCTGTGTGCATGCTCTTCCCTCTGCGAGAACCTTCTTCCCAGCCCTCTTTTTCTAGCTCACCTTACCTGCCCTGCAGATCTCATTTCAGTTGTACCCTCCTTGGGAAGAAGCTCTGATTAAAACCCCTTTCATTCTCATATTATCACAGACCTGTCTTGGATCATTGTTGCATTTATTTGTGTGTTTTTAGATCAATGTCAAGCACATTTGTCAGCCTGTAAATGAGGGCAGGAACTATACGTTTTTCCAGTGCTTGCCATAGAGCCTGGCACATAGCAAATATTCAGTAATCAGAGTGAATACACATTCACCTGTTCCATTGATATTATTTACAGGAAATGGTGATTATTACAGTAGTGGAAATGATCTGAATAACTTCACCGACATTCCCCCTGGTGGAGTAGAACAGAAAGCTAAAGATAGTGTCATTTTAGTGAGGTAAGTGGGACATTGTTCTGATACCAGAGGGCTCTTCCCTAGTCATCAAAGTGGTGTTGAGTTGAGCAAAAGTGAAATAAAAAGGTCTATGGGGCCTCCCTGGTGGCTGAAGGGGTTAAGTCTCAGCACTTTGAAGCTATCCGTAGTACAAGTTCTATCCCCAGCCAGGGAGGTGACCCACCCATGGAACAGCAGACCTCTTCTGTCTCCCCACTGCTCCCCTCAGCAGTGTATTTCAGTGGATCTGCCTGTTCTGATCCCCACTCTG